CAGCCATTAATCCCATTACAAACTAATCACTTGGATTTGCATCTACTAGCGGAGATGTCATGTCGTAGCACACGAACTCGAGCTGCCAAAATTGTGCTTGAAGAGCCTTTGGAGCAAAACGGTCAGGAAGATTACGGATGTGTTCAAGGTGAGTTCAAAGCAACAGCTCTCATTTTCGGTGACGAGACATGTCTTCGACAGCGTTTTTATGAGATAGAAGTGTAGCTCCGTTTATAAAAACTGATTAAGGTTACAAGAGGGCGAGGACGAACTCAGAAGAAGCTTCATGGCGATGAAGCTCGCGTAGAAACAAAGTCGTTTCAAGCACCAGGATTGAAAAAGGTGAGAGCTAGCCTCACTGTTGATGTTTCATAGAGTTCATTTTGAAGTTCATATCTTTAAGGAGTCGACTCAAGAAGATTGTTTATCAGCAAAGGCAGAAAGTGTATGTTCGCCTCCAAAAAGGGCAAAGAAGGTATGGTTTGGGATAGAGGTATCTCTTCTATGGACATTCCCATTTTTCTAGTGTACTGATCACCATGCACAGCGAAGCGCTAGGAAAGTGCTTTTCGCCGCCGACGACACTCTAAAGAGCTCACCGAAAAAGGAAATAGATGTTGAGGTGAGTCGGAGGTACATATAGGTTCAACATTACCTCTGCCTAACACTTCAGATGCTATTTCGGTTTCGAAGAGTCTTATAGCTTACTAATATAGGTACCATCAAGATAGCTTATTAATATAGGTACCATCAAGCACAAACAAGGATTCGGGTGCTATAACCTGTGTTTCTGAGGCCGTTAAAGCAGAGGCCTCGGCAGAAATTGAGCCATGTGATGCCCTGTCTCCTGCAAAGGACCCATTAATTTCTAGAGCCGATGAATTAAGCGAGAAACTTGCCTTGAAAGGTATGTTTGGTTTCCTTTTCCTAGATAGGTTGTGTCTCAACTAGCTGCTCACTGCCCTTGGGAGTTTTTAGCTGCTCAAACTAAACTACGTGCTCGAATACGAAGTGTTGCTGATCTGCAGGCGGTGCTAGCCCAGAAAGGCGCTGTAAGGGCAGTTCATGAACAGGCTCAGAAAATCAAGAGCAAACAGGTTGGTAGAAAAAAATGGTTTGATTGTATTTTCGGAGCTGCAAGCTTTCCCTACCATTTTTTCACTGGTAACCCGCTCTTCCATATCTGTTGTACAGGAACCAAATTTTTAGGTGGAGGAGCACGCAAATCTTCTGAAATCCCCAGTAAAATCGGTACCAAAAGGATCTGCTCGGGTTCAAGTGGCAACCAAGGCGAAACATGATTCACCTCAAAAGGCGAGTTTCGTGTACTCTTTTTTCACTTGTTCTGAGGGAAACATTTTCAGCGTATGAAACCGTCGACATCTGCTGTACCCGATTTCGTTCTTCCTACTCACAAAACACCTGCGAAAAAGTCCTTAGACGAATTCGAACTGCACGAAACAAGGTAGGTATGCCCTGTATCCATGTATTTCACTATGGTGCACTGCAAATAATTTAGACATGTATTTGAATACGGCAAAGCTTCACGTCTTATTGAAGAAGTCAAGAGAAATTCCACCCTTCCTTTACCCAGGCAGTACGAACATTTACACGAGACGTTCCAGTCGTGTGACAGGGTGAGTGAAACTGCCTGTACTACTGTCACCATTGTTTGTCGTTGTCAATGAGAATCTTGGCAAATCTAAGTACATTCCATAGAATCAGGTTATAATTCTTGTTTTAGAGACTTCGCTTTTACTTAAGCTGAGTTGTGTTTGGTATTACTGACTGTTTTCATTTGTGTGTCATTTTCTAAGTGTTTTTTATAGGTGGTTTCTATTTACACTAATCAGGGAAGACGATGTGCAGTTCTGGAGATTCAGAAAAATGTCGAAAAGAACACACACTTGTAAGTTGAGCAGAGCTCGCTCCTTTTGTTATTGTTACTTCAGTACTTTAATCCTTCCAATTACATTCTTGCTTTATTTAATATGACTTTAAGTGTTTTGTTTACTTTTCTTTCGTCTGCTGAATATGATCCATATCCAGAAGTTTCACTCGCAAACACCTTGCCCAAATAGTTCAAGTCTATCCGACTTCGTATGACGTTCGTCTGGACAAGCGGTGGAATGCATTTGGTGGCGATGCAGAAGTCATACGGAAAGATGGAATTAGTAATGGCAGTCAATCTTGTAGATGGTACGTCTTTTCTATTTCTCAGCCAAGATCGCCTACCGTTGTCCGATAATCACGAACTTTTAAGATTTGACGGGATTTATGCAGCCTGACACTCCAGTCAAGTATGATGATCAACCACTCCCCACAGTCACACCAAGCAAATTGATTTCTCCGAGGAAGAAAGTGGTCACGGCACTTCCCAGGTGAGCTACAATGTTCTATTTTATATTTAGGCTGTATTGACATTCTGACAGCAACGCGCGTTTTTTTTTTGCCCAATGGTTGCACATGATTTGTTAACGTATCCACCTTGATTGGTATCGGGTCACATCATTCCACGAGGCTTGCTAAGTGTGATCCGCTGTCGCACCACGATCGTAATATGTTGAACAGTAGAAATATTTTGTTGCAGTGTATGAGGTGGAGTATGTGACTTCGGCTTACTATCATGATTACGATTGCTTTCAGGGATCCAGTGCTGGACGCAAGACCTCGTCTTGAAGGCTGGCGAATGATTTGTAGAAGTCACGTGTTTAGACATAAGCTAGTGGAAATTGCGAAGAAGTTCCACCAAAAGTTCCTGGAACGTTTAGGGCGTGAGTTGAAATTTCAGCCCCAGCCTGTAGATTTACAACTACACCAAACTTTATAGTTAACCTGAAGGAAGTTGAACTCGCACGATTGCGTCGCTTCCATCCTAAGTTTGATCTTGAGCAAGAATGTGGAGAAATAGAACAGGTAATAAACAGCGCCGCAGTCAATTCAGTTATTACCGCTTTTCACTCCGTGCAGGCTATCTCAGTTTTTTGCTTGTTTATTTCTCACTTTGCCTTTATCTTCATTGTGGCTATTCGATGCCTAATTAAGGCGGAACTTCCTGAAGTGGACCACGGCGCAGCTGAGCGGCATCTTGAAATGAAGGATTACCTTGCTACGGTTGATACCACTGTACCACTTCCAAAAGCAGTTTCTGTGAGTGCCGCAGATTGTTGTTCCCTCTTCAGTTACTTTTCGCTTGGATTCTTATCTTTGTGTCAATCCATTCCTTGGCAGGCTGCGCTTGAAGATTTGAAAAGTCCGCTGAAGAAGCTCGTAAGCTCTAATGCGGCAGTACCACTCTCACCGCGAAAATTTGCTGAGAAGCAAGCATCAAAACCGAAAGGGGCGATGTCGTTGTTGGAAAGGGTAGGTCTCTTTCATTGTTGTGTTTACTTATTGCAGTATCTATTGTTCAGATTCGCGCGAAAGAAGCGGAAAGAAAGGCCGCCGAAAAGTTGAGAGATCCTGTAATAGACAGAAAAATTGAACTCCTTCAGCGAATTCTACATGGCCTCTTACGATGTATTACGACGTGAGCTATACTCAAGAACCTACATGGTTCAATTTTCGTATTCGTATTTGCCTGCAGTAAGGAATTTCAACAAAACAGTAGCGTTCCCGCGCATTTAGTCCCGAAGCTTACTTGCAGGTACTTCGCCTTCAAGAAAGTTCGCTCTATGGAATTGAGGACGCGTGGCTCCGAGTCAGGTCATGAAGAAGCCAGTCCTGCAAATGAATTCGAGCGTGCTTTAATTCCGACTCCTGCACTGTTTGCATATATTCGATTCGAACAAGAGGTAAATGCCTTTTCAAAAAAATGGCCGTTCCTTTTCAGATTTGTTATGGAACATACCTCACGATACTCTTGCGAAAGAGGCTGCACCGGATTTTAGTGGCTGGGGTTGCGAGGAATGTTGCGGAATTTGGTGGTAAGAAGTATCTACAGATGAAGGAGAACAACTACACGGCCATCGAAAAGGTGATACAAGAGGAGCTGGCACGTCTTCGAACTAGTGCTCCGTCTGCGTCTCAGCTTCAGCAAGGTGTTGCCGTGGCTGACGTAGCTAAGAAAGCTGTTAGAGCTCTATTTTAGTATGTAACTACACATCTCAATTCTTGACAGTTTAGGCAGGTAGGATTATGGTTTGCAGGGTTGAGCGAAGTGCTTCATAGCCTAAACGTATGGCTTTTTTTGAACTTTGTTTCTGTAAACATTCATTGCAATATCTAGCATCGCTCAATTTTGCTTTCTTTCTAGAATTTATAACCTATTTTCTTACATACTAGAAAGCTTTACCCGTCTCTCACTACAGTACCCTAGACATTTCGTGCATGAAATTGGTAGTTTATTGTGTATATATGCTCTTTTTATATGGTTTATGGTATTCGCATACCTCCTTAGGTTCACACATTTCTTCTTTTTCTTGCTTCAGGACTTCGGCTTCTGTCTAAAATCAGCCATTATTTTTATTTTGCTACGCAAAATTTTCCTGTTGGATATTGAGCAAAAGATTTTGTAGGATGAGATTGCATGCATATCTGGTGTTCTTCTGAGAACGTATGCTGTATAAATTGTCAAGCATTTATTATGTAATCACCGGAAAGCAATATCAAAAATTTATAAGTCAATGTAGCCCGTCCAGTCAAGACCGATGATCCATTTGGCGTAGCTGCGATCGTAGCCGCTGGTGTCCTGGGAAAAATGGGCAATTAAGGAATGGGAATAAAGAAAAGGTAGACAGAAAAACAATAGATTCATTGCAAGAATCGACGGCGAATAGTTGCTTATGTGATTGGATAGGAACAGGAGATTCCAACAATAGAGAAACCGTACCATACGAGACAAGGCCAAAAGGGTCATATTAGTGAACTGAACTAGGGCACATACCGTTCGCCTTAGAATGCTGAGCGTCAGCCTACAGAGCAAGCACTTTAAAGCTCGGAAGAGCGGTATGGGGCCAGGGTCACAGACAGGACTGAACAATTAGGTTCGTCCCCAGGAAGGAGCAAAACGAACGTTCCAGTGATTACAAGAAATTTTCTTTCTCATTCGGGAGGTCGACTCCTTGGCAAGTTTGCTTTTGTTTGCTTTCA